GTTTGGGGTTGATAAGATTTTAATGATTTAAATAAATGTTTTTGAAAGGAGACTCTTATGCTCACCAAGGTTGCATTTATTCGATTTAAAAATACAGTAATATTGTGAAATACTATTATAATTTAAAATCACTGTTTTGTAGTTTAATATATTTTAAAATGAAATTTATTCCTATGATGGCAAAGCTGAATTTTCACCATCATTACTCCAGTCTTCAGTGTCACATGATCCTTCAGAAATCACTATAATATGCTGATTATTTTTATTATTAATGTTAAAAACAGCTGTGCTGCTGAATATTTTTGTAAAAACCGTGATACATTTTTCAGGATTTTTTGATGACCAAAGTAAAAAAAAAAAACTTAATTTGTAACATTATAAATGTCTTTACTTTCACTTTTGATTTAATTTACTCAAATGAACTTAATTTTAAAAAAGCATTTATAAAAAAGAATCTTACCGACTGCAAACTTTTGAACGGTAGTGTGCATAACAATATAGGGAGTAGAATGTGTCAAATACTGAAATAAACTCAGTAAGCAATACCTCTCTATATTCACTGGAGGTTGAAGGACTTTAGATGCCTCTGATGCCTTCCTCCCTGCACTGGATGTGACAATATTTTCTCCTTCTGACTTAAGTTTGTCCACAAAGTTATCCACCTCTTTCCCCTTGACACCCAGCTTCAGTGCTTTGCCTGAACCACTTGGCCTACAGGAAGAACAGGGCAGATTAACTTCTGTACACTTATATATTTCCATGTATCATGGCCCACAGTTAAAGCTCATACCTGACTGTAGCAGGAGACACTTTGGGCTTCTCTGGCTCTATTGTATCCGTGATGATGGTGGCTGATGTGAAGCTGCTCATTCCTGAATTTCCAAAACCTCCGAAGCCAGGCGATTTCCTCCCAGCACGTTCAGCATCTTGTCTTGCTCGCTGCAGCTCTTTGGACTTGCGTTTCATCTCGGCCTTTGCTTCTCTTTCTTGGGTCTGTTGAAGTGGAGAATTGAGAGAAACCCAGAAAATTAGAGTTAGTGTTTGATTTCAACTTAAAACGGAGAGTAATTTTTCCATGGATGTTTCATCAAATATCAGACCTCTCTGACAGCCCTGAAGACTTTCTCTTCATGAGAATCCATCTCAGTAAAAGTGCGAATCTGGGCCAGGTTAACGTTCTCCCGGTAGCCCAGAGCCACAATCTCATCAAATGCAAATATGAGATCAAAACAGTGCTCAGAGATCTCGCTTTCCTCCAATACTCTGCAATATTCAGGGATCTGAAAAAATATGGAAACCCATCACTTATTCAAGATACATCAAAGAAGAGCAATAATTGGGAGAGTAAAAAAAAAGCAAGCTTTACCACTCGGGAGAAAAGCCTTAGCGTCTCCAAGTCCTCCAGGATGTTACTGTTTTTTGTAGTGATCAGAACCATGTAGAGCTTCTCCAGGGGCTGGTAGACGTAGCGCACGCTGTCTGTTTCCACAAAAGTGTGCTGCTTGCCTGTATTCATCAGTTTGGGAAAGGCAGCCAGAAGGCCCTCGACGCGGGTTCGCGTCATCTCTACGAACTGTCGTGACACTATGGCTTTTCCTGCCTTAGTGCAAACCGCCGCTGCCAAGAGCACCTGCAAAGATTTCATGGACATGCAAAACTTAATCGGGCAAAGGACAATTAAAAAGAAAACTGGGATTTTTGACCATTATGATGATTACTGATTTCAGAAATTAAGACTGCAGCACAACATTTCAGAAATGATCAACTTGCATTACTAGTGAAAATACTAAAATGACACAAATGGAGCATCAAAACATTTAAGATGAAGTGATCAAAGTTTTGACTTGTAAGTTAAGTTCAATGTATGGAATAGACCAATTTCTCTACTAAATTGATTATTCTTCAGTATTGGGCCTACAGATAAATGGCATGCACTCAATAGTATAGAGACTTAATTTGTGTGTGTGTAAACATTTATTACATGCTATTAAAATGCCAAATCAATAAAAAAAAATATTAATTGAAATTAGCTGATATAAAATATTAATATTAGATGAACAACTTGAGCATAAACAAAAATGTTGTAGAAATATTGCCTCGGAAACTAACTGAAATAAAACAAGTTTAATCTAAAGAACTAAAATCACTAAACCTGGAAAAAAGCTAAATAGAAATGTTAAAGGCACATAAAAAAGTCACAAAAACAAAAGCTTTTATTTTATATAATAAGTTAATTCCAAATATGATTAAATACTATAATAGTATATAATACTAAAGTCCTTAAATGAGAGAAATATGTAAAGTTGTGTGCAGTAAGACATGGGACAAAACAAAGACAACATATATTTGCAACCAATCAATTAGATTTGCATAATTAATTGTGAATAAATAATATTACACAGAAATGCAAGCAACGTTTTATTATAGTGATTTTCGATTGTCAAACACCAGAAATAAAACTAAATAAAAAAACGATGCTGCATATCAGCTATAAGATAGGAAAAAGCATTAAAATTATCTGCATTGGTTGACATGATACAGTTAACATGACTAAAAATAATATTTTTCTTAATGCTAATAAAGATAATAAAGGTCTGCCATATATACAACATTTAATTTGTCTGCATTTATATATAATAATATATAATTATTTATGTTTTTTTATGTTTCATGATCCATAGGTCATTTATATTAAGTCAACATTTGGATTGTCAAAGTCAGTTAGCTACAACCTGTTATCTGCATAGACATTTATTATCTAAATGATAAAACAATACAAAATATAACGTTAGCAATTTATTATATCAATATTTTATCATTTAAACAATGACAGCTATTTACTTTCGTTGATTACTTAAACTGTACTTAATTCTGAAGGCAATAGTTAGCTGGCTAACCTTTAGCTGGCTAAGTTAGCTGTATCAGATATCAAAACCTAGCAAAGTTTCCTTACTTGTAAGATGTTTTAACACCAAAAAACAGATGGAATCGACACATTTTAGTAATTGACACTAAAAAACGAAAAGAGTTTCAGACTGTGTGAGAGATGAGCTACATCGCTAGCTGCTAGCCCCATCATGCTAAATGCACAAAACAAACCAGTCATACCATTTCTGTTTCCTTTCACACGAGGATCCTTCAGCGGACTCGGTCACGGACACTGTCTGTCCAGCTGTTTCAAAAGCAGAAAATGTCAAATATGTTGACTAATGCTCTGTTTTAACAGTAGCATATAGCTTGACTCGTAATATTGAAGAAACAGAGCCACGTCTCCAGAGTCCAACCGGAAAAAGTTGCGCCGTGTCAGAAGCAGAGGAGTGTTGATGCAGGAGAGATGGCGACATCTAACGGCGGAGAACAGCTACTGCTCATGAAAATAATACAGTTTCCACAAAAATATTAAGCAGCCCGAACAACTTTTATCAACATTGATAATAATAAGAAATGTTTCTTAATATCATCATATTAGATTATCATTTCTGAAGCATCATGTGACTGTAGGCCTAATGATGCTGAAAATTCAGCTTTGCCATCACGAATAAATTATATTTTAAAATATATTAAAATAGAAAAGTTAGGCTATATTAAATTGTAATAATATTTCACATACAGCTTTGGTGAGCATAAGAGAGTTCTTCAAAAAAAAATTAAGAAACAACAACCCTAAACTTTTAAAAAAAGGTATAAGCCTAGAGTATGTGGAATTCACATCTTATTGTCAAATTATTTTTTTCTGAAGTGAATATTTTATTCTTCGATACAACAGGTGGGAAATGGTCCACTGTTTATAGGCTACCCATGAAAAAAAGATACACTTTATATTTGTATATAGATAAATTCATCCTCACTGTATTATATATTTTTTATTTTATTATTATTATTTATTATTAACACCTCTCTCTGTCTAATTTATGTACTTTCTATCTTCTATTTCAATACCTTCATTTTCAGTTAAAATCTATAGTTGCACCTTGCTTTAATGTGTCCTTGTGTGGATTTTGGGAACTCTGGTTCTTCAACAAAAAACCAACAAAAAAAACGTTGTTGAGGGGGTGTATTAGCTTATTTGAAATCTTATTTACTCTTATATTTGTAAGTTATCATGAGGCCCCTTTATAAGTTGTGCAGAAAAAAGAAACAACCTTTTTTCATTTTTTTAATGCTGAAATTAATTCTACTGCCACAGTCACAGTTGTTAGTTGTATCACGTCACTTTAAGGTATGGAAAATAAAATATAAAGCACATTGGGAATGACAGTGGACTAAAGGGGAATTATGTCAATAACTACACCCCTCTCATCAGTAATCCAAACTCAGGATGTGTGGTTTTTTTTTGTTTGTTGTTGTTGTTGTTGTTTTTGTTTTTTTAATTACACCACATTTGACAATCAAATGTGATCCATGGCATCTTTTACACCACTGAGGTAAATAAGGCACATTTGCTGTCTCACATAGATGTCTATACAGTCTGACACTGCAGTGATTAATAAGTTAGTTTAGGCCCCAGTATCAAACAGATTCATAAGTGCAGCAAACTTTACATTCAGATGCTCAACATATGCTGAGATATCACAGATGAGCTCATTTATACCAGCATTCATCCGTATTTTGACCTGGGGATTTATTGAATTCAGATGCTGCACAACATCCCATTTCAGTTCTGCTTCCTCTCAAAGCCAAAGTTACAATCATCATCCAAGTCAGCCACGTAATTACATACAACGTCCAACTGTAGGCCATAAATATAACAAACCAAACCCAACTCCTACAACAACCTGCATTTACAGGCCTAAAGCACTGACCTACTGCGCGTTTCGCCTTACATTGTATTGTTGACTATGGACAAATATGTTTTTGGTTTTATAACTTTGTTTTGGTTCTATGTGTTGCATTAAAGCATTTGATCTTATGCCTGTTGTAATACAGATGGTTCTCTCAGTCGTGGTGAAGCTGCTGGGTTTGTTTGGAGAAGAGAGGCAGAGGTGCAGCTATCGACGGGTTTACTTCTGTGCTGGTGGCTTCTCTTCACAGCTGATGTCCTCCTGCACGTGGCGATATATGCAGATGGGACCGGCTGGGATCTTAATGGTGCCCTAGAATGTGAAATTGAATTTATTTTGGCATAGTTAAATAACAAGAGTTCAGTACATGGACATGACATACAGTGAGTCTCAAACACCATTGTTTTCTCCTTATTTAAATCTCGTTTTTGAAAGGTGAATCTCCACAACGGCTCTGCTCCACATAACACCGACTGTGACGCAACAGTCTGGATCATTAATATGTAGGACTACGCCTCCAAACATTTGCATATGCCAGCCCATGTTCAATGACAGACGGAACTGCGCAGCCGAAGCAGCAGTTGCTCAGTGTTTGGATGTACACATGAACACAAAAGTATTCTTTAGTTCCTTCATCCGAGCCTCTGAAGAAACAATGGCTTAATTTTATTTTCTCTGGAAATGCGCCGACACAACTTCCCAAAGTTGTGTAACATTTCACCGACGACTGTTTCCTCAACTTGGGCCAATACAGAGCTGGCCTCGCCCTCGATGAACGTCTGAAAATATAGATCGAGCTACCAAGCAACAATTTCTGATGTGTAGCCTAATTGTCAGGGGCGTGGTAGCGGGGGGAAAAGGGGTACCGAATACCCAGGGCCCGAGGCAGGGGGGGGGCACTTAGAAGTTGCCGCGCTCAAGTCAAAAAGTCCGCCGCGGGGGCCCCAGCAAGATGGTTTGTACCCAGGGCCCAAAATTTGGTAGGCCTACTACACCCCTGCTAATTGTTCAAGTTCAGACAGGTAATCTTTCTCTCAAAATCGTTCAATACTGTTTATGCATCAAGTCAAGCCAGTGACTAAAATCAACTTCACATCGTTTCTTTTAGTAGGATGAAAAAAAAACGTATTTAAATTGTGAATAAATTATATACAGAAAGCGATCAAAGAACAATTTTTTCACACAGCGCGAGTTTATCTGGACAACTCTCGTTATGAAATCAATGACGCACGTTACACTGCACAACGAAGCTCTTACTGTATGTACATCATCGTGTTTGCATTGGTGAAAGCAATAGAGAGAATCGCAGAAACTGCTTTGCAAATGATAAGATCTTCGTTCTCGCGATCAACAGACTGTCATCTGATTGCTCAATGCTCATCACGGCAACATTTTAGGTGATGGGAATAGATCTAAATACTTTAAAAACATCTCACGATTCGTTAATCTCGATAGCTGTAATAGTAAAAACGTATAATAGCTGTAGTAAAACTAAGTATTCGAGAGAGTTTCACATGTAATGCTTGCTATTTCATATGTAATGCAAGCATGTCAGCCAATCACAGCAGTGATTGCCCCAAGCTTCAAACAGAGCGTTCAAATCAGAGGCTAATATCAGGCTAGGAAAAATGCCTTTTATTTCTAAATTATGACTATTTTTGATCTAAAAAAATACTAACATTATAAGGGCAACCCAGGAAACATTATAAAATAATAAAATAACCCCATTCTGGGGCACCTTTAAACTTCCGGTAAAACTCATTTGCCACAATGCCATACTCATTAAACAGTTTCTTCGAAGTGATGTAAATCAGTCATTGCACAATAACACGTCACTGAAAATAAAGTTGAATCGACTTTAAGTTGAGGTAGCAAACAAAAACTAGAATTGACATTCAAAATTTTAATTTAGAGAAGGACACAATAAATTGATCAAACGTGACAGTAAATACATTTATAATGTTGTTACAAATTATTTCTGTTCCAAATAAATGTGGTTCTTTTGAACATTCTATTCATCAAAAAAAATATTTTAATTGATGGATCATAATTTCTACACATTGTTTTAACTGTTTTCAACATTGATAATAATAATGTTTCTTAAGCAGTAAATCAGCATATTATAATTATTTCTGTTCAATCATGTGACACTGAAGACTGAAGTAATAAAATTATTAAATTATAATATATTTTAAAATATATAAATATAAACATTAAAACCTATTATATAAATATATTGAAATAGAAAACAGTTATTTTAAATTGTAATAATATTTCTCATGTTACTGTTTTTACTGTATTTTCGATCAAATAAATGCAGCATTGGTGAGCAGAAGAGATGTCTTTCAAAAACATTTAAACGTCTTTCCAACCCCAAACTTTTTGACATTTTAATAAGAAAAGGAAATGTTTGTCAAGACAAACATTGGATGTTGTTTAAAAGTTTAAAAAGGTGTTAAAAGTCTTTGGTCTTTCCTTTCCTTCCCAAAAACGTCCTGTGAGTGTGATCATGAAATAAAAGTGAGAAAGTTCTTCACATGTTGCCTGTGGAATATGGTGTTATACATTGAATGATGTTCATTGTATAACACAATACAATGAACATCATTTATGCTAGCAAAATACCCATCTTAATTCATCCAGAACTGCCAAGTTCAGAATGGTTATTAAAATGAAGGTGAGTTTAAATACTTGTTTTGTTACCTGCCGTTCATCGTGTTTCCCATGAATCTCAATAAAATCATCATTGAGCTTGTCAGTCAGTTCGTCTGGAGAGAAGTGCTTCACATCCAGGCTGATTACAAAGCGATCTCTGTCCATTCTCACCTGTGTAAGGGAAAATGGCAAACTGAATACTGCAAAAGGCTGAAAACCTGCAAACTTTATAACTCTAATAATGTGACTGGCAAAGTTTCCTTACTTGTAAGATGTTTTTAACACACACAAAAAAAAACAGATGCAATAGACACTTTTTAGTAATTGACACTAAAAAACGAAAGAACATTCTGTTAATCTCAAGAATTTAGGGGAAACTCTTTACAATGAGATTCATTTTGTTAACATTAATCAATGCATCATCATGAACTATAACAAAAGCAATACTTTTACAGCAGTTGTTAATCTAATAATCTAATTGTTAATTATAGGTAAACTAACATCAATAGTTTGAGCTCGGTACGACTTTTCAGGGTTTGAGAGTCTATATACTCACCAAGACTTATATTTATTTACATAGACATGATATATACTTACAAGACCACATTTATTTCATCGAAAATACAGTAAAAACAGTAATATTGTAAAATATTTTTACAATTTAAAATAACAGGTTTCTATGTTAATATATTTTAGAATGTAACTTATTCCTGTGATGCAAAGGTGAATTTCCAGCATCATTACTCCAGTCTTCAGTGTCACATGATCCTTCAGAAATCATTCTAATATGCTGCTTGAGAAACATTTCTTATTATTATCAATGTTGAAAATGTTGGTGCTGCTTAATGATTTTGTGGAAACTGTAAAGCATTTTACAGTATGTATTTGATACATTAGAACAGCATGTTTGAAATATTGTTTTTTGTCTTTACTGTTACTTTTTTTTTTTATCAAGTTAAGGTGTCCATTAATTTCTTTCTTTTAAAATAAAAAAATCTTACTGACCCTAAACCTTTGAACAGTAGTGTTTAACATTAGTCGTATAGATTAACATTATTATGAACTAACATGAATTAACAATGTTAAGGTATAAAAATAGTATTGTAAAAATTGCTGTTAAAAGTGTTTATTGTTAAGGATAACGAATTGAATCTTTAAAAAAGTAAAAAGTAAAGGAAAAAAGTAAAGTATTAGCTATTTGGGTAATGGCTAATTTGTAGCAACATCAGCAGTTTAACTCACGTCTGACATGCCACTCTCCCACCAGTTTGGAAAGCGCCAGAAATAAGGACGATAGTAAAGCATGGTGTAGAAAGGTGAAAATAGGTCGCTGACAGGTAGGCGCTCTCCGAAATACTGGTCATAAGTTCGATGGGAAGAAGGGAAGAAGCCTGGGAACAAGGGTCGGCGGTACCAGGGATGATAAATAGAAATGTCCATAGTATCTCAGCGAAGCAGCTGGAGTTGATAGCGGATCTGCTGCATGTTCTACTTTGGCCCTGTATTTATGGCCCATCCATAAACCTTATGTCAGCCGCTGATCTGTCTCCAGTTATGAGGTAAATTGTTTTTTGCTGCCCTCTTCCCCTTTGGCTCATTCAAACAAAAAACCTATTTAATCACCCTTCACTCATTCAGTCTCAAACACTGGGGTCTGAATAGTGTTAACGCCGCTCTGCTCACAAGCCTGGAAAAATATTTGCCTGGCTAAGTTAGAATGGTTCTGAGTGAAGCCTCTATGTCAACTGGCCACATCCCAGCAAGCTCTTGTGCCAGGAGGGATTGTGCCACCCGTGCCCTGGACAGGACACGCCAGATACTATCTGGTCCCTCCTGGCTGCTATCAGAGGAGAACTCAGGCAGAAAGATAATATTGTGCCCTAAAATGACTGCAGCAATCAGCAAGATTGGTGATCTGCTGTAAATCAGATGTGATAAATGAGCAAATGGGCATCCCTGCCGTCCCATCTGAGAGAGTTGGACAGGTGTTGTGGAATGGGGCTGGAAGTCAGGCCTGTGGCAGTATCATTTTCCAACTGTGTTACATACACCGTACACATTCATGTGCTGGTTTGGGACCAGTTACACCAGGTCAGTTTTGCTTGAGAAGAGCATGACTGTGGTGTGTGTCGCAGGAAGGAGGTGCAGCAGTAGCCACATATAAGGAAAGGACCACCTCTTCGATAACACCAGGGGCCTCATTTATAACCGGTGCGTACACACAAAACAGGCCCTGAAAGAGGCGTACGCCACTTCGAACACATGTCCGGAAAATTTGCGCACCTGCATGCAAACTCTGACCCATGCGTACAAACATTTTGGAGACGGAGCAATATGGCGACACCGATGGTGACCTGAGGGACTGGTGGCAGATGATGGAAAACCAGTTTAAATCTTCATTATGAGTCCTAATCATAAATACAGTGCATGTTCACTATAACAGTTTAAATAAATAAAATAATGATTTAAACTATGTTTTACATCTGATATACACGTTTAGATTAAATATGCTATTCTCATTAATGGAGCATTTAAATTACATGAAATCATTACCGAGAAGTCAATTCAATTCAATTTATTTATAAAGCACAATTAAACACAACTGCCGTTGACCAATGTGCTGTACGGAGTAAAAAAACAATAACAGAATAAAAACAACAACAAAGACACGGATAAAAAATACAGAACATAAAAAAAACAGGACAACTCTATCACCAGTCATATTGTCATCGTCACCTGCCTGCAATCTGCACTCATCACTCATGTGAGCGTTCTGCCGCACTATGGCTGCCGTCGCATCATCCAAGTGGGTGCTGCACACTGGTGGTGGTTGAGGAGATTCCCCCTTCCATGTGAAGCGCTTTGAGTGCCTAGAAAAGCGCTATATAAATGTAATGAATTATTATTATTATTATCACCAGCACCATAAAACAACACAGTTCCCTCAGTTCACTGTCTGGTCTCGTCGTTACGCCATTGACTGCCTGACTCTCCATCAGGATCTCTACAGCCTGCTATCTATCTTACCTGCTTCGTGTAACTTACCATTACTTACCTTACTTGTCCATGAAACTCCCGTCTGCAACTCTAGTCCATCTGTCTTCAGCTTGTCATCCGTCTTCTGCCCAGCCCGATATCCTCAAACCTGCATCAGATAAGAGACTCAGTCATATACAAACATATGTATCTGTGCACATACAAACTGTCTTCCAATCATCAACTCACCTGAGTGCTTTGAATAAATATCCATTTACTTTACCTGTTTGTGTCGTTCTGATCTGTGACAGAAGACCAGACCTTAAAGATTAGTAGCTTGGAAATTGCCTCAATAAATGTTGGCCCTTTGAATGGCAGTAGGATGATGGAAGAGTAGGATGATGGAAGGTACAACAGTTTTTATTTTCCAGAGTGGTAGAAACCTGGAGGAATACGTCCCTGAGTTCGTCACCATCAGTCACCGAGCCAGTTGCAGTGACCTCACCCTTATGGAGGGATTTTGGTGCGGGCTGGATGATCAGATCCGCTTAAACATGCCGCGCGGAAACCCTGTATGGGACCTTGAAAGTTATATCAACTTTGCGCTCTGGATGGATGGGTCCTCGTTCATCGTTGGCAGAGCGGATGAGGACACCACTACCGCTCAACCACAGTCACCCTTGTCCCGTCCAGAGTCTCGTCCCGCCAAGCCTCACCATCTTCACGTCACGCCTGACCAGCCCGATCTTCACGTCACACCTGACCAGCCCGATCTTCACGTCGAGCCAGACCAGCCCGATCCTCACGTCACGCCTGACCATCCCGATCTTCACGTCGAGCCTGACCAGCCCGATCTTCACGTCACGCCTGACCAGCCCGATCCTCACGTCACGCCTGACCAGCCCGATCTTCATGTCAATCCTGACCAGCCCGAACTTCACGTCACGCCTGACCACCCCGATCTTCACGTCGAGCCTGACCATCCCGATCTTCACGTCGAGCCTGACCATCCCGATCTTCACGTCGAGCCTGACCATCCCGATCTTCACGTCACGCCTGACCATCCCGATCTTCACGTCACGCCTGACCATCCCGATCTTCACGTCGAGCCTGACCACCCCGATCTTCACGTCGAGCCTGACCATCCCGATCTTCACGTCACGCCTGACCATCCCGATCTTCACGTCGAGCCTGACCAGCCCGATCTTCACGTCAATCCTGACCAGCCCGATCTTCACGTCACGCCTGACCAGCCCGATCCTCACGTCACGCCTGACCAGCCCGATCTTCACGTCACGCCTGACCAGCCCGATCTTCACGTCACGCCTGACCAGCCCGATCTTCACGTCAATCCTGACCAGCCCGATCTTCACGTCACGCCTGACCAGCCCGATCCTCACGTCATGCCTGACCAGCCCGATCTTCACGTCGAGCCTGACCAGCCCGATCCTCACGTCACGTCTGACCAGCCCGATCTTCACGTCGAGCCTGACCAGCCCGATCCTCATGTCACGCCTGACCAGCCCGATCTTCACGTCACGCCTGACCAGCCCGATCTTCACGTCTCGCCTGACCATCCCGATCTTCCCGTCGTGCCTGACCAGCCTGATCTTCACGTCGATCTTCACATCATGCCTGACCAGTCTGATCTTCACGTCATGCCAGCCATTAGGCCTATCACCGGATCGATCTCTGGGTGTCCAGGCCTGATGTCCAGCGTGTCAGAACCACCGATCATGTCAGTGTGATTGGCCAGAATGGTGGCCGCCACACCCACTCCCGAGTCTCTTCATGTCATGCCTGTCCAGCCTGATCTTCACGTCATGCCTGTTCAGCCTGATCTTCACGTCATGCCTGTTTGGCCTGATCTTCACGTCATGCCTGTTCGGCCTGATCTTCACGTCATGCCTGTTCGGCCTGATCTTCACGTCATGCCTGTTCGGCCTGATCTTCACGTCATGCCTGTTCAGCCTGATCTTCACGTCATGCCTGTTCGGCCTGATCTTCACGTCAAGCCTGATCAGGTCAGCCTTGCCGAGCCTGCGCTCCACGTCAACCCTGCCGAGCATGAGCTCCAGCCTTCTGTCCCCGAGCCTGAGCCTTCTGTTCCCGAGCCTGAGCCTTCTGTTCCTGAGCCTGAGCCTTCTGTTCCCGAACCTGTCCCTGAGCCTGTCCCTGAGCCCATAGCTCCCCCCAAGAAAATCGTCACCTGCCTGCAATCTGAACTCATCACCAGCACCATAAAACACCACAGTTCCCTCAGTTCACTGTCTGGTCTCGTCGTTACGCCATTGACTGTCTGACTCTCCATCTGCAACTCCAGTCCATCTGTCTTCAGCTTGTCATCCGTCTTCTGCCCAGCCCGATATCCTCAAACCTGCATCAGATAATAGACTCAGTCATATACAAACATCTCATTCATTATTCAAACCTGTCTTCCAATCATCAACTCACCTGCCGTGTCTGTTCCTGAGTGCTTTGAATAAATATCCATTTACTTTACCTGTTTGTGTCGTTCTGATCTGTGTCCAGATATCTTATCTATAAAAAATGGGCAGAACCGCTCACACATAGCCACTGACTCTGTCTGATAGGTACACACAACCAGGATTAGTACAGTACAGCATTAATAATAGTGAAAAGGATAGGATTATTGTGATTCTTATCTAAGAGTAGAAAAATAATCTGATTTGGCCACTCTCACCGCATTCTGATACTTAAAAACGGAGTCCTTAAGCATCTCATAAGAGATCTGTAGTTTGTCCTTTTTCCATTTCCTCTCGACCCTTCTACAGGGCTGACTCAGTGTCCGAGTGGTATTATTCACCCATGGCTCGGGGGTTGACTTTTGTTGTTTAGTCCTCAGTGGAGCGACATCATCTAAAATTGTATTGCAAACAGAATTAAAATTATATAGCAATTTGTCCTGGCTGACCTCTGGTGAAACAAGATCAGGATAATGGGAAAACTCCTCAAACACTGCAGAGAAAGTAGCAGAGGTAGCAGCGGTGATCCTCCGCACCACAGTTTTATGGGGATTTATAGTATTCATCGATAGTAGCATATTGAAGATAATAGGATTATGGTCAGAAAAACTATTGTCGCATATCTCAATGTCACCCAACAAGAGTCCATGGGACAATATAAGATCAAGACTCTTGATTCAGTGTGACCCTGTATGTGTGTAGGTCTTGTAACCAGCTGCACTAAGTCAAAAGTTAGCGGATGAGTTTTGGGGGCAGCATATGTGAATATTAAAATCACCAATAATTCAAAATCTATCAAAATTGGGGATAATACCCCCCAAGAAATCGTCACAATCCGTTAGAAAATCTTTATGTAGCTTTGGAGGCCGATAGACCACAGCAACAGCTAGTGGAGTGTTAGAGTCAGGCAAAAGCAACTGCAGTTCGAAGCTGTTGTATGTGGTTCTTTGTATAGTCCGACATTGAAAGCAGTCTTTAAACATTGAAGCCAACCCCCCAACCAAAAATATATATATGGTATATATATAACTGTGGTAACAACTCCGAAAGAGTTAAATCTCCATTCGAAAGCCATGTTTCAGTGGTAAATATGTGTCGAAACGCCACGGCGGCGGAAGCGTGCGGAGGCGAAGCTAGAACATTTTTGTTATTCTAATAAATACAAATATTTATAACACTTTTCCTGTGGCATGCTGCATTTTAACTATAGCGAGGATTCTACTACTTAGAGAACTATAGGAGAACTACTTAGCGCATGATAATAGCAGAACTCATGGTCTGAGAAAATATTTTAGCGCAAATAATGAGCAATAATGCACAATAAGGCCTATCTGTTTCCATTAAAAATATAAAGCAATTAAAAATAATATTTGGCCTGTGGAAAAGATTGAGAAAAACTTTCTCTGAAATGTATTTTATAGCCTATACTATTTTATTATTTTTTTTAAAAACAAGGCAAGGCTAGGCCTATGATTTTTTAGTAATGTAATGTGACGGCACACCCGTTTCCTATTGTCTTGTACAGACCAATCAAATACATTCTTGTGGAATCAAATAAATCACAGTAAATTATGAGTTTCTATTATTTATTTTTTTAAACAAACAGTACTTGTAGCAGAAATATCAGAGGAAATGTTTTAAGGTGCACTCAATTTTGAGAGCAAAAGGTCCATTGTCTATTGTCATAGTGTAGAGAAGTATAAAGCGCCACTCACACAAGTCACTTTCAAACCAAGCAGATTCTGATGGTCAATGCCACGACACTGCATGTTCAACTTGGTTTTATATTATATTTACATGTATTATATTCATGTACATCTTTATTAAAGAATGTATTGGCAAGATGGGGGAAATTCAAATGGTTAGACAATGAACAAAATGCTCTGCTTGTAAATTTTGACTCACAATTGCAGATTGACTGTGGCTTAGCTTCTTTGAATTATAAGTAGCTTGTAGCTTTACTAAGCTTCATTTAGATACATTGTAGCTTTCCCAACACTGTCCTTGACTGTCTGAGTAATCTCTTCCAGTAATACTGCGGTTTTTCTAATTCTACTCCAAATCCACTGCCAATATCACCCTGCTCTGCACAAATTGGGAATGTAGCCATTATGGGATAAATGGGTTGTTCATGCATAACATGTCCATGGACTTTAAAAAAAAAATCATTATTATTATTATTCAACATCATTATTTTTGGTTAAAACGTAGAAGTAGTGTACAATGTAAAAATAAAACAAAGATTATTGGAAGATTATTATGTTTTACAAGAAAATACTATTTCAGACTTTACAATTTTATGTTAAATTCAGTGTGTTACTTGGTATTTCTTTGTAATTATTGGGTGAAAATGGCTTCAAAGGAAATCACAGCATTTTTTTGTCAGTGTTCCTGAGGATCATTGGCAGTTCTATGAACACATTCTCTAATGATCCTTGGAATAAAAATGTAACACAGATAAAAAAAACAAGCCAAAACAGCTAACTATTGTCATGACATATTGTCAATAAAATTCCACACACAAAAAGAAAGAAAAGAAAAGGGGGAAAGGGCTGTTCTGCATGTAGCCTATACGTTTTTGCCCAATTATGGGCATCTAAGTCATTTCCCTTTCAGAATGTCAGAAAAATAAAATCGGTATATTATTTATATTAGTCTGGCATTGTTACGGGTGTGGTGCAGGTTGAAGGAGAGGCAGCAGTCAGCAGATCAAATTCAATAATCTTTACTAATATAACTCAAACCAGGAATCCAGGAAACACTAACCACACCAAATACAAACGTTACATAAACGAGAACCGACAAGGAGTGAGGGAGAACACAGGGTATAAATACACTTAGAACGGATAATGAGAACAAGACACAGCTGGGGCAAATGAACTGATAATGACAGGTAGACAGGTGAAGGAACTGAGAACTAACGAGGAGCGGGAAAAGTGACACAGGATTAAACCAAATACACAGAGACGGGGGGAAACTCAGGACACACATGTAACATAACGCCCCCTCCAAAAAGGCGCATCCTCGCGCCGTATAACTTCAATAGGGGTGGGGGGGCGGGCGCCCTGGAGGCTGACAAGGGCGTGGCCTACCCAGAGCAGGAAGCCTCCAGGGCGGAGCAGGCTGGGAAGGCGCCCATGGTGGAGACGACCCCTCGGGCGGCCATGGCGGAGAATCCCTTTTGGGCGGCCATGGCGGAGAGGCCACTTCGGGAGGCCAGGGTGGAGAGGCACCTTCAGGTGGCCAGGGTGGAGAGGCACCTTCAGGTGGCCAGGGTGGAGAGGCCACTTCGGGAGGCCATGGTGGAGAAGCCACTTCAGGTGGCCAGGGTGACGTGAAGCTCTGGCTCGGCAGGCGTGCGGGGAAGCTCTGGCTCGGCAGGCGTGCGGGGAAGCTCTGGCTCGGCAGGCGTGCGGGGAAGCTCTGGCTCGGCAGGCGTGCGGGGAAGCTCTGGCTCGGCAGGCGTGCGGGGAAGCTCTGGCTCGGCAGGCGTGCGGGGAAGCTCTGGCTCGGCAGGCGTGCGGGGAAGCTCTGGCTCGGCAGGCGTGCGGGGAAGCTCTGGCTCGGCAGGCGTGCGGGGAAGCTCTGGCTCGGCAGGCGTGCGGGGAAGCTCTGGCTCGGCAGGCGTGCGGGGAAGCTCTGGCTCGGCAGGCGTGCGGGGAAGCTCTGGCTCGGCAGGCGTGCGGGGAAGCTCTGGCTCGGCAGGCGTGCGGGGAAGCTCTGGCTCGGCAGGCGTGCGGGGAAGCTCTGGCTCGGCAGGCGTGCGGGGAAGCTCTGGCTCGGCAGGCGTGCGGGGAAGCTCTGGCTCGGCAGGCGTGCGGGGAAGCTCTGGCTCGGCAGGCGTGCGGGGAAGCTCTGGCTCGGCAGGCGTGCGGGGAAGCTCTGGCTCGGCAGGCGTGCGGGGAAGCTCTGGCTCGGCAGGCGTGCGGGGAAGCTCTGGCTCGGCAGGCGTGCGGGGAAGCTCTGGCTCGGCAGGCGTGCGGGGAAGCTCTGGCTCGGCAGGCGTGCGGGGAAGCTCTGGCTCGGCAGGCGTGCGGGGAAGCTCAGGTTTGGCAGGCGTGCGGGGAAGCTCAGGCTCGGCAGGCGTGCGGGGAAGCTCAGGCTCGGCAGGCGTGCGGGGAAGCTCAGGCTCGGCAGGCGTGCGGTGAAGCTCAGGCTCGGCAGGCGTGCGGGGAAGCTCAGGCTCGGCAGGGGTGCGGGGAAGCTCAGGCTCGGCAGGGCTGCGGGGAAGCTCAGGCTCGGCAGGGCTGGACGGAACCAGCGGCGAGGGCTTGGCTGGGCTGGACGGAACCAGCGGCGAGGGCTTGGCTGGGCTTGACGGAACCAGCGGCGAGGGCTTGGCTGGGCTGGACGGAACCAGCGGCGAGGGCTTGGCTGGGCTGGCTGGGATCAGTGGCGGAAGCTCTGTGTCCCAGTCAATAAGCTCCTCCTCTTCCCCTGGACCGATGGTGAAGGGAGAGCCACAGCTCGCCAATACCCACTCAACAAAGGCCTCGAAGTTCCCCCGAGGCCCATCTCCGGGCAGGCGTGCTGTGGTCTCGGCGTTGAGACCTGCCCGGAAGAACACACAGAGGCTGGTGTCATCATAATGGACAAAGGGTACCAAGTCCAAATACCTCTGTGTGTGGGCCTCGAGGGAAAGATCCTCTTGGGAAAGCAGCATGATCTTTACTGCTGCCAAATCCATATTTTGGGTCGGTTCTTCTGTTACGGGTGTGGCGCAGGTTGAAGGAGAGGCAGCAGTCAGCAGATCAAATTCAATAATCTTTACTAATATAACTCAAACCAGGAATCCAGGAAACACTAACCACACCAAATACAAACGTTACATAAACGTGAACCGACAAGGAGTGAGGGAGAACACAGGGTATAAATACACTTAGAACGGATAATGAGAACAAGACACAGCTGGGGCAAATGAACTGATAATGACAGGTAGACAGGTGAAGGAACTGAGAACTAACGAGGAGTGGGAAAAGTGACACAGGATTAAACCAAATACACAGAGACGGGGGGAAACTCAGGACACACATGTAACAGGCATCATGATTTCAATGATTTCATCAATGGAGAGTGGAGACAGAGTTGTGGAACAGTATGCTTTTCTCTGATTTTAAGCTGACGTGGTCATACTCAACGTGCTCTTTCTCTCTCGCTCTCCCTCTCTCTCACTTTCACATGCACACACACACACATTCACTCTCTCATTTCGACATAATACGACAATATAAGATGTAATTCACACAGTGAAATCAAGCACTTATCATACATGCTTTTAGTTTAACGGAGCTGGTTAAAGTGTGTCATCTTCACACAGACACAACCAGCAGCATGGCTCACTGGAAACGCCCATTTTTTCATCCCATAACCACCCACCCCCCTCCATCCTGGAGCCCACCACTCTGTGTGAAAGGGAGGGGTGAAGATGGAGGAGGGGAGGGTAAACAGAGCCGGGCTGAACCATGTCTGACTCCTAAAAAAGGAACAAGGGAGGGGGAAGACAAGGAGCGAAGAGAAACAGAAAGGCAGAGGAAAAATCCCTCAGAACTGCCTCGAGAGAGGCACAAAAACAGGGAGAATGAGAAACAGGAGTCTTACAAGTCGCAGAAGACAACGTGGACATTCAAGAAGGGGGACGGCAGACCATTCAAAAGCCTTTTTCTCCCCTGTTATGGCTCAGAACTGATAAACAGGATTACCTCATGCTTATCATAGAAACACATGCTGCCTCTGATTGGGATTTTCAATGTTGAATCTATGGGAATAATCAAAAGGTCATTTAGCCTGGGTTTACAGCACGAGTGTTAAGGATGTCCTAAGGAAGACCTGCCAAACAAGCAGGTAGGTAGGGTACGCACGGACCGGGACATTTGCATGGTCTGGGATCTGTTCTCCATCATCATCTTCAACAGACTAGACTGGTAGCTACGTGGATACTGGGATTTGTGTGGTGCGGTTTCTGATGTGCACACCCTTTGGACCGGCGCTGTGCCGTCTGCTATGTTGATGACACACTGCTACTTCCTCGAACCCCACGGGATGGGCTGGATCAGAATGGGAGGTTAGAAGGGCAAATAGCATCATGGGAGCCAAACAAATGAAATGGTATGAATGAAGTTCTACAGCTCCCTCTACAATTTTGTCCTTCCTGTTTCCATCTTCCATTCCATTTTGGATATCCCAGGATATAAGAGCCATACTGCTTATTGTCTATAAGTTGGACTGCAATATTGTGATATTGTATGTGGCTGTATGATATGATGAGGTTTAATAATGAGTGAAAGTGGCTGGCACACCACTGTTTTCTCACTCTGAATGTATGTCTCAATTGTGAACATATAAGAGATTGATGTGTGGGTGTTGCCTGCTATTGTGAAATCACCTAGCAACCGGGAATCACAGGCTTCAATATTGTCAGTGCCATCTGTGTGCTTGGTAAATGCTCAGATAAATGAATCCACTATTTGGTCCATAAATGTGTTGACGGTTATGTGATTTTGATACACAATACATCATAAAGAGGTCATACAAGTGGAGCAAATAACTTTGTCCTCGCATACAAATGTTTCATTATATTAGACTCATTAATCTGTTATGCAACAGTCTACTTGGTCTGTCTGGACCAGCCTTGAAAAGATATGGAATGTGTGAATTTTTTGTATAGCAGCAGTTATTTAAGCAATATCACACAAGCAAGAGTGATGTTGTTCATATCAGCATGGCTAAGACGCTATTCATACAGAATGCGTTTTTGCTTTGGAAAAAAGAGGAATGGGGAAAAAACGCAAGGTCTAGAGTTTTTTTAAAGTGAAACTTCTTTTAAGTTGAGCGCCGTGTTTTTAGAAGTTAACAGCGTGTTGTGTGAGAAATCCAAGAGACATAAGATGTGGGCACAACAGTTAAACACGTCAGTCTGGTGCATGTTTACATAGAAAAACTATTAAAAAATAACTTAGTGGAACACAAAAACAACCCTTAAAGCTGCAGTCCGTAGCTTTTTTGGGTTAAAAATGATCCAAAATACATATTTGAGAAAATACATAACCAGCCAGTGTTCAACACTATCTGCTTGCCGTAGCTCGATTCAAAACGGTAAGCTTGTAATAATGTTTTTAATTCCAGTGGTACTGGTGGATTTTTTGCGGGAGATTCGAGCATGTCTTTGCGTCATTACGTCACATCTGTACACATGACCTAAACACTACTGCTAATCACAAGCGCTAATGTCGAGAATCAGACTAACAGCACATGATATTGCTTTTATGTCAGTTCAATAAATATAACTTTCATTTAAAATACCTCACATTTTAAATACAATATTGCCAATTAATTTGTCTATTTTTGCACAGCCAATAAAAATAGTTCCAAATGAAGTAACAATGTTACGTGTCTCATAGCAAAACACACAATACTGGCCATACTGAAAAAATCGGTATGCAATGAAGAGGCTGAGTGAATGATTCAATGATACGCTCATAAAGATATTCGGCAGTTTTGTTCCTTAATGAATCAGTGTTTTGAATGAATCAGTTGAATGAATGATATAATATTTTTCTCACAAAGGCAGTAACTTGTCACTTCCCTACTGGCGTATAATTCACTTTTTGGAAGGAAATGGATATAAAATTGGTTATGAAACATGTCCATTAAAAAGCGTCTGTTGCAAATAAACAAAACAACCCCATTGTTCATAATGCATTAGAGTAAATAATGTACAGTGGAATATAAATGGTCTTAAATGAGCCAATCAGATTATGTTTTGTATCTGGAGTGGTTTACTACTGTATAAACCAGTATGTTCCTCTTTGTAAAAATAATCAACATTCAGTAATATGACACCTCTCAGAGAAGCATTCTGCTGTAATTTCATGCTTGTGTACACAACGCTTTATGTAATCATTCTCAGAAGCTTAATCAAGATGTAATCCTGGCTAATAGTCCTTATCAAAATGATGATGCTAATCAACTGGGAGAGCTGCTTTGTCTTTTATTCAGTGCGACAGACTTCACTCTGTCTTTATTTCTTTGTTAGAGAGATCTCAATTTCGATATCATATTCCCGTGCCAGAGGAACAGCTAGGGGTGTTTGAAATAGAGTCTCTCATTTCATCTTTACTGAAAACAGATGAATGACATGTGACTTAGGAATGCTCGGGAACTTTGTATTAGTGTGGTTTGAAACGGAAAACCTGGGTTAGAAAGATGACATGTCTATTGTAACAGGAATTTCCCTAGATTGTTCAGTTACATGTAATTAAAGTGAACACAGTATACCTTATGTACACAAAAGGCTTTCATTGTCATCAAATTACTCCAGCTGGTTATATATGACTGAAAATTAGGACCATACCATTACGAATACATGGTTATCTTGCTCACTGATTCTTTACAACATCTCTCCAGCCTCAGTTCATCCAGTCCAGCACACACACCTAAGGAGGAGTATATTATTGCCAAATCTGAAGATTCGGGAGAGCTAGTGGGGAATCATACGGAGCAACCACAAAGCCTAGGTAGGATGTATCCCCTGCTTGGTCCTACACAACAGATTTTTTTCTATACTTTTCTTATATTTTGTTGTTTGTTTCCTTTGAAGAGGATGTAGTGAAATCCTCAGCCACCGAGCCGTCTCCTGGCCCAGAGCATGCTGGGAAAGAGGAAAGCAGCACATGGGAGGAACAGCTATGTGCCCAACAGGAACAGCTGGAGAAGGAGATGCAGGAGACCAGGAAAATGGTGTCAAGGCTTCAGGCGAGTTATTATTCGTACACATTTATAAATGGTTGATTCTTCAACATCAGGCTTTTTATGTCAAATTATGCAAAAAGATAATAATAGCTTTCAAAAGTTTGTAATCAGTCAGATCTATTTTAAAGTAATTAATAATTGTATTTATTTAGAATGATTTCCGAAGGATCATGTGACTGAAGACTGGAGTAATGATGTATTTTCCACCAATATCATTTGAGATGTGGTGGAAAGGATCATGATGTATTTCACAAATAAAAAATATGAAAGTATAAATATTTAAAAAAATGTCAGAATTCTCCCATAATGAGTATTTTATACAACGGACAGTTAACTAGTGAGTCCACAGGGTCAACATTTTGGAAACACCCATGTGTAATACCTCCACTACTACATTTTAAGCAAAGAGCATGTATTTTAAGAATTAGTGCTTGTAAAAGTAAAGCAGTTCATTCAGTCGGATTAAGATTATTACTTTGCACAGATTGGCAGACTTTCCTAATCCATCATGATTAATGTCACTCTTAAACAGAACCAATGACGAAGCATTTCAAGCTCATCAATCCAGCATTTCAAAGCCTCCTTTTATTTGCCAGGTATCAGCATTAGAAGGCATCTTTAATTCTCTAATGCAAGAGTTATAAAGATTGAAAGAGGAAATACAGCTTTAAGGGAGAAGCTGCTAGCTAGTCTAATCATCAAACAGCATCCGAGGTTGATCACGTGATGACTGCTGTTAGGAACACTGTTGGTGCAATAGCATATGTTCACAGCGAGTGAGTGGACTAGTTTTACTCACATTACCTCAGTGCGTTAGAAACCTCATGGTCACATGTCTTCATTCAGGCCTTACTGCTGCATGGGTCACTACCTGAGGACGAGCAGACATCTACTCTGAGCTTTGGAGAAAGTACCAGCTCAGAGCAGCAGCTGGTAACACTTAACTATGCTTTTGTGCATGTCTCATATACAGTCTATTATGGTAATGACATATCCTTTTTATTCTGCCATTGGAGATTTTAATTCGCAGTCGTCTGGACCAGAGTATGGAAGAGTCTTTAGATCTGAAGGTAACTTAAATTGCTGAAAAGAAATACTGGCTGATGTGCAGTAAACTGTATATATAAGCTGAATATACTACAGTTTGTACATTGAATGAGGGTTTTAATGTGTTTTTTTCAGAGAGAACTTTTAAGATACAAGCAGGAGGCACGTAATCTGCAGGCTATTAAGGTGAGACCAATTAGGCTAAGTGTAGAACGTGTTTACAGTTATGATATAAAATACAATATATAATAATAAATTGTGTGTTCATTTGTAATATTATAAATAACAGAAGTATGAAAATTATTCAATTCTTTAATTTTAACATTAGCTTTTGCAGTGTACAGCAGATTTGTTGCCATTTGGTATTATTAGGGTTTGTTTCTGTGTCCATCTGTTTACCCAGGATGCCTTGCAGCAGAGAATGTCTGTGCAGGAGGACTCAGTGCTACAGCTCAAACAGGAGCTGCTCAGATCCAGCATGGCCAGAGAGGAACTGGAGGGACATAATGTGAGTCTGACAACAACACTAATACAAAAGTTTTAAATGTATAATTGCATTTTAATCTCCTTTGTATCAGATATATAAAGTTATTTGCAAACTTTTGCTTTTTGTCCTTTAGGTGGAACTGGAAAGGAAGTTGAACGAACGCAACAGATTTCTGAGTGAATACAAAGTAAGCAAATTGCATCCTAATGATGCTGAGATACTTGAATCCTATCTAGTGTTATTTAATCATCTTTAGTATTTTAATTCATTAAATAAGTCTGTGTTGGTTCTCTCTCAGTGGGGGGGGGGGGGGGGGGGGGGGTGTCTATAGTAAATCCATAAAAATCCCATTTGTCACATGCACTTATCTTTGTAGAAAGAAATTGGGCAGAAAGACAGACTTCTTCAGCAGCAGCAAGCAAAACTGGACGATGCCCTGCACAGGATCAATGGAAGCTATCATAGGGTAACTAAAACTAGGGCAAATTTGACCCATTTCGGCAATAATTGTATGTCCTATTAAAGGGATAGTTGTGTTGAAGACAAAAGATGATATTTAGAAGAATGTTGGTAACCAGACAGTTGAGGTAGCCATTAACTTCTATAGTATTTTTTTCCTACTATGGAAGTCAATGGCTATAGATAGACCATATTAAATGGTCTATACAGTCAAGTGTCTGGTTACTGACATTCTTCAAAATATCTTTTGTGTTCAACATAAGAAAGCTTGAGGGTGAGTAGATGCTGACAAAATGTACATTTTTGGGTGAACTATCCCTTTAACATTTATATTATAATATTGTGTATAAACTCTTTGTAGCTCTCATTTATTACACTAGAGGGAGCCATAGCACACCAATAGTCTCAGACTGACGTTTACTTCTAAATGTATTTACCGGTAGCTTGGTATAATATTACATAGATATTCCCATAAAATGCAGATATAAATAACAGAAACAAAAACAGCTTTAATATAAACACATCGTCCACTGTTTTCCAGCACAGAATGGTGAGTCATGTCATTCTTCACTTAAAAAAAGAATTCGCTCAATTTCTACTAAATGTCTGTATTTTGTGTTCTTTGGTTCTGTCTGAATGTGTGCATCAGGGGGACGAGCTACATCTGGTGCGAGATGCTCTGCACAGCCTGAGGGACAGTTTCAGCGTTCATGACCCACAGCATCATATGCTGGACACGCTGGAGCAGGGGCTGGCCAGTCTGGTGGACCGCCTTCACACCACAGAATCCAAGAAACGGCAGGAGAGAAAGGCAAGGTCAACCATTAACTGTATCCAACAATCTGGATAATAGGAAATGTGGGGAGAAGTAGGGCAGGGATTTGGGTTTGATTTTGAGATGTAGGGTGAATTCATGTTAATTTGGGACACTTTTCCCTAGTCGTCTCAATGGCGAAAAGTGTCCCAATCAACCTGAATTCACCCCTAGGTGCAGGGGCGGAGTTTAAGTGGACTAAATGATTGGAGAAGTCCTCCATACATCACCAGAGAGAAGTCTGTCGTTTTCTCCAGAAGGTCTAGTTAGTAATTATGTGAGAAAAACAAAGCCTTTTAATATTTTGAATCATTTGTATAGCAAAATGTGCTCGAATTCCAGACGTTGGTGACGCCTGCTGGTAAGAATGGTGTAAATGCAACGAAAACTCAGCAATTGGTTTGTAAAAGATATTTTAATGCTGAGTTTTCTTGAAAGTATATTAAATTAACAAATCATCTGTCTGTATAATTTTATTTAGTTTATTTCATGGAGAGCTTGGCTAATTAGGCCAATAAGAGACTATTAACTGCATCTCTTCCTTTTTATTAGCTATACAAATGAGTCATTAAAAATGTCTACAAATGTATAAAGTTGATTCAATATCAGGTAAACCGTATAAACACGGGTTCATGGGTACACAGCCTAGCAGCGAACCATTGAAATTTTGAAACATTTACTTTATGTGAACTAACTGAAATCCGTGACTTTGGCAGTTTGAGACATGCTCAGATTTGCAAGGGTTTTGAAGCTTCACGAACCATGTGTTTCGAAAGTGCCCATCACTAACAGTTATGATGTTTTGATTTAACATTATGTGGTCTAAACATAACAAATGAAACATGCACAAATGAATAGTTCACAGTAAGATCTATAACAGGCATTTAAAAAAGTAGATAATAGTGAATTTTCATTTCATGCCGACTTTAAAACGATTTGTTGTACCACCACAGGGTTCAACCAGGTCTCCTGGACGAAAAGCCAATCACACGGACCGAGAATCATGGCCATCGAGCTCAAGTAGGTCACTTCAATGATATTCAGCTAGAAATTCATGCAGGGTTGCCACTTTTTAGACCAATGAATGCATTTTTTATAAGCTTTCAAGTCATTTGTGATTACTTGACTTAAAAATCATTCAAATTCAAACTTATTTATTTAGATCTATCTGTGAAACGATTCATTGAAAAGAACCAACTCAAAAGCACGGTTTGCTCACAAATTTAACATGCACGTTTTAACCTACACAAGATCAATATCTAACAATTGAAATGTTTTAGAGCAAAAGCGTAACTAGAAAAAAATATGTTTTCTTTTTTCCAGAGATTGCTCATTCTCACAGTAGCCCTGTTCTTAGTGCGGCTGCCTCAACCAAAGTACTCTACTACACGGATCGCTCTCTCACGCCCTTCCTAGTCAACATCCCTAAGAGGTGACTACAAGAATGACATCATAGCATCATCATATAGAAGTCTCGTGATCTAAATATAAACTATTTATTGGTAGGCTGGGGGAGGTCACGCTACAGGACTTCAAGGCAGCTGTGGATAGACATGGCTGTTTCCGATATCACTTCAAATCGCTGGATCCAGAGTTTGGAACGGTGAAGGAAGAGGTGAAAATCACACCCCATGTTGTGAATTAGTGAATGCTCAGTGTCTTTCTCTAAATGTGCTGTGAGTATTTGAGAAATAACACTGAATGCCGTCTTTCAGGTGTTTCAGGACGATGCTGTTATACCTGGCTGGGAAGGGAAAATCGTTGCATGGGTGGAAGAGGATCGTGGAGAGGGGAGATGAGGCATGAGGGTTACGATCCGTTCAGAATGAATGTTTTACCCCACATATACCTCATCCCAGCAACTCTGAACCCTTTGTCCTGTGCTAACTGTGAATCTCACCGAACCTGTTCACTAGGTCATTACATCAGGAAAGTGTTTGTAAAATAGAGTATATGCATTTTGAAGATTGAAAGAAAAATGACATTTTAATATTATTAAAAAACAGTTTACAATACTGATTAAAAGTGTATTAAAGTTATGGTACATTTTGTTTTCCAAAAAACTAGCGTTTCAACAATGCCATTGTGATAAGTGAGCAAGAAAAAAAGATCATTTACTTAAGAGTTTTTGTCTTGTGCAGTGACAAATAATAAACATGTCGCGTTAGTTGCCAAACTGTGACAAGGACATCACACATTGTGTGCATGTATTGTCCTGCCAGAAAAAAAGCCATTTCAAGAGAACATATCATATCAACATATGCACACATTCTCTGTAATATATTTTTCACTTAATGTATGTCAACCTTTCTTGACTATCCTTCAAAAATAAAGGGTGGTAAAAGCAGGGACCACTTTGTTTGTAAAAATTTGTAACATTTGAACATATTGAAGTATTCCCTTTGAAAATGATTGTACTTTTCCTATCAAGTTTGCATGTCTGTTCATTGTGTTTGTGTTGTAAATGCAAATGCAGTTGACACTTGTCCACCCTTTTATTAAAGACATTCTGTGCACTGGTGAAGGCTTATTTGTGTATGCAATCGTCTAAAATCGTGGCGATGCACAATATATCAATGTCATATTGGTTATCTGCCATTATACATTTCAATTACATTTGCAGTCATGAAACATTCACTTAAAGTTGAATATTTTAATAACAGTTAAATGTAATCTTCAGCAAATCTCAAAATGAGCTTCCATTTTTCATACTGTACTTTCTAATGTTGTGATGCCTAAATTCACTTTAAAAAAATACTTATAAAACCACTCATTTTAGTGTTTTATTTATTTATTTAAAGAAAATAGGACAGATTTTTAACATCAAACATTAATTAGTTAACTAATAACAAAATAATTATAGTCTTTTAAGGTTCTTATAAATTTAAGAATAGATGGTTCTGTCTGTGAATAGAATATGCCTCTTGAGATGGGCTTAAAATTAATCATCATGTATTAAAATTATGTAACCTTGAATTTGAATGCAAGTCTAATTATCTTTGGGACAACAAATAATAATACAACAATATATTTCTCAGAAAATGATTCGGAAGGTGTTTATATCCTCGGTTTCTTGATTAATAAGAGTGAAGTGTTCTCATAACACAGTCACTAAAACATCTAGAGTCTGTTCCTTCTTACTAAACGTTGCAATGCATGTCTCCTCTTTGACCAACTCAGGAAATGGAAGATGGAGATAATAAATGTCCTCAACTTCCAGGAGAATATCATCCTAAAGAATAAAAACCAAACCCTTTATTGAGTCCACATCATGAATAAAAACCTTTCAAAATATGTACAATATAAGGTTAAATCAGAACTATGGAAAATTTGATTTAGTCCCACTCCCAACAGAATAACAGAAAAATGATAATGAAACACTATATAAGATTAAATAAAAGGCATTTGTTTGGAAATTAAAACTTCCCCCCACACAGCTTGCCTACGGGAACACTGACCTGAGAGATGCTGAGCTGGCACTGTGACACAGATCTCACTCCAGGAAGCTCAACACTCAGCTTCAGGCTCCTAGTTGAGCCGCTGCTGTCAGGACAGACTGTGAGATGATGCCGGGGTTGTTGTGGCTGAGATTGGTCTGATTCTGTGCTGGAGATCACCTCAATGAGACCTGATCGGGCTGCTTTTTTCTCCCGCTCCATGCTCAGTTGGATGGATGAATCCTCATTACTCTCAGCCATTCGCAGTGAGGAGATCTGCTGCAGGAGTGATGGGGCTATAAAAAAGCAGAAGAATCACTTAAAGGGTTAATTCACTTAAAAATTACAATTCTGGTAATAATGACTCACCCTCGTGTCATTTCAAACCCTTAAGACTCTAGTTCATCTTCGTAAGACATCATAAAAGTAATCCATGAGACCCAAGTTGTTTAACCTCAATTTTATGAAGTAACACAAGTGCCTTGTTTGCACAAAACACATAATTTGCCACTTTATTTATAAAATATTAAACTCCAACGCACGTTCACGAGAGCACCTTTTGTGAATGGTTATTGTTACGCATATTTGTTGTTATGAAGCAAGAGCAGATGCTGTTGTATGAACTAATATTTTTGTAAATAAACTGGTAAATTACGTTTTTCTGCATAAACAAAGCACTCGCATCGCTTCATAAAATTATAGGGTTAAACCACTTGGGTCACATGGATTACTTTTATGATGTCTTTACTACCTTTCTGGGGCCTGAAAGTGGTAGATGCTGTCAATGGAGGGACAGAAAGCTCTCAGATTTCATTAAAAAGATCTTCATTTGTGTTACAAAGAGGGTTTGGAATGACATGAGGGTGAGTAATCAATGACAGAATTTTTAGAGTGAATTAACTCTTTAATATTGCAAAATCACATCATTTGCATTCCAGCAGGTTCATAATTAGGTTCTTTACAATTAGTTAGTTAACCTCTGTAGCTCTTAAAACCTGTAAGATGAAGCTCAAACTGTCTTTACATTTCTAAAGCATATTTTACCTGGTTCAGATTGTGGCTTATTGGCAGAAGATTCTGATGTATGTGGTGACATGAGACGCTGCTTCATATCCTGAATGCTGCCTTTGATTTTGTCTTTGGTGAGTTTGTAGTGTTGGGACAGACTCAGAATGTGCTGTTGTTGGATGAAGTTCACAGCAAGCAGATGGAGCTGCTCTTTCTCATGTTTCTCTTTCTCTGTCGTTTCCAGAACCGCAGGGTTGAAGGCCACATCAACAACACTGTATCGCTCTCCAAAAAACAAAGGAAATCAGAATTTCTCAAGATAAAAAGGTGTTTAAGAATCAAGTTTAACCCTTTGATGCGCAAGCTATGGATACCCCTTCTAATGCGCAACATGGGTCTAAAAAGACCCGTATTCATTTCCTATGTTATTTCAGTCATGGCTGAATGTTTCTTTGCTGAATCTTTAAAATATATGCATTTTATCATTTGTTATTCCAGGTATTGATTAAATATCTTGTTTTTGATTTCCACAAATCATTATGTTTATGTTTCCTTTCTTACTTTATAAACAAACACAGTTTTTGTATTTCTACATCAATTTTACATACATGGGTCTAAAATGACCCGTATTCATTTCCTATGTTATTTCAATCATGGCTTAGTGTTTCTTTGCTGAATCTTTAAAATATATGTATTTTATCATTTGTTATTCCAGGTATTGATTAAATATCTTGTTTTTGATTTCCACAAATCATTATGTTTATTTTTTCTTTCTTACTTTATAAACAAACACAGTTTTTATTTCTACATCAATTTTACATACACGGGTCTAAAATGACTGTATTCATTTCCTATGTTATTTCAGGTGGCTTTGACAGTTACAGATTTTAAAATCAAAAGGCGGGGAAAAAAGGACCCTAAACTCTTAACACATCGAACCATTTCAGCATAATGGCTTATTCAAGACTATACGGTTCTTAATAGAACTTTTAGGCCTATTACATGTAAATAAGCTTTAAAGGGGCATTTGGCAACTATTTCAACTTAATGAAACCGTTTAGAAATCATTTGGATGGTTTAATAATTGTTCTGGTGAAAATGGTGACTTTCCCTGCTCCCCCCAACGTTCCTAGGCGGAAAACCAACCTTGCAACATGGAGACTAACGTCCCAGTAAGTTGGAAACAGGAAGTCTTGTGAGAAGCGAGAACGAGCGAGAAACACAAAATGCTTTATGGCAATTCGACATAAACACACACGCCGCCCTCAATGTGTATGATGTATTACCCACCTCGGTATAGCTCCACACGATAAAGTTGGCCGGCTCCGATAATAACAAATGCTCATGAGCAGCGGTAGAAAGGGGGAGGAGGGGCCGCAAGTGAGTTTTTTTACAACATTGTTGTGAAATATACATCCCACAGCTGTAGGGGGAGCTCGTTGAGAAAACATGCGACAACAAAAGTGAAAATCAGCGAAGAAATAGCTAGAGTTGCTGAGTTCGCCTTTAAAAACCCATCTTTTTTTAGTGTAGCTAACATTAGCTAGCTAGAATAGAATATGTCGACAGCTAGCTAGCTAATAGTATTGGATATGTTTCTCTTTCTCACAAGTAATTTCTCACTAGGATTTCGTGGTCAAGTAACCATAGCCTAATATTCAAATATTATGTCCAGTTATCTTTTACAAAATATCAAATATTTTCTGTGGTTAAAATAAAATAAGACTTGCATCAAATATACAAAAGCAGCAGTGTTGAATTGTGAAATGTGTGGCAGGTGAATAGTATTATGTAATAATGCCATAGTAATAGTATTTATGCAGTAAATATGTTCCTACTTGCAAATATGTGCAAATATCAAAGGTTTCTATATGGGTCATTTTTGACCCATGTATGTAAAATGTGTGTAGAAATACAAAAACTCTGTTTGTATATAAAGTAAGAAAGAAAACGTAAATATCAATATTTAATGAATATCTGGAATAACAAATGATAAAATGCATATATTTTAAAAATTCAGCAAAGAAACACTCAGCCATGACTGAAATAACATAGGAAATGAATACGGGTCATTTTAGACCCATGTATGTAAAATTGATGTAGAAATACAAAAACTGTGTTTGTTTATAAAGTAAGAAAGGAAACATAAACATAATGATTTGTGGAAATCAAAAACAAGATATTTAATGAATACATGGAATAACAAATGATAAAATACATATATTTTAAAGATTCAGCAAAGAAAACACTCAGCCATGACTGAAATAACATAGGAAATGAATACGGGTCATTTTAGACCCATGTATGTAAAATTGATGTAGAAATACAAAAACTGTGTTTGTTTATAAAGTAAGAAAGGAAACATAAACATAATGATTTGTGGAAATCCAAAACAAGATATTTAATGAATACATGGAATAACAAATGATAAAATACATATATTTTAAAGATTCAGCAAAGAAAACACTCAGCCATCACTGAAATAACATAGGAAATGAATACGGGTCTTTTTAGACCCATGTTGCGCATTAGAAGGGTTGTGATACAAAAACTATTTTTATTCAAAAAGTAAGAAAGTAAAAATAAAAATAAGGATTTGTGATGATCAAAAACAAGTTAATTGAGGAATACCTGGAATACTGAATGATGAAATTAATTTCTTGCAAAGATATAGAAAATTAAAACTCAGTCGGGTCTATTTAGACCCATGTTGTGCATCAAAGGGTTAAGGAGATAGGAAGTTAATCAAGGACAAAATAAAGTAGGTTAACAGGCGAGTTACTTGGAATACAAGACTGCGAACCAATGCATAACGGAACAAATGCCACCTTAAAGTGAATCTTTTGGTAAAAGAAAATCTTTTGAAAGCAGCAATGATGAGATGGAGCTTTTGTACCTTTCTCCTCTGTTACTTTCTCCATTCGTCCTCCACACACAGGAACAGGATCACTGTAAGAAGTGGCCGCTGGTACGCGTTTCCAACCGCAAATGTTAATGTACAATACATCCTCCTTTGATCCCTGAAAAGTGATAAGACATAAAATCTTTCTCATTTCACTTCATAATTTATGATTTAATAATTATTTGTAAAGTTACATGCCATCCATTTTTAACTTGTACTGTGGCACCATGGTTCAATAAAGGTATCAGATGCAAATGCCATAAATGATTATCACATTCTTAACGTTTGATGAAATTGAAATACCACTTCTTTATCGTCAGTAACGTCAAAAAACATGGTAATGTCATGTCATGTGTACACCATCAAGTCAAATGATAAGGCATCTAAACTGCTCTCATATAACTGCAGTGGTCTATTTGTTTAATAAGATCTATAAAATAAGTCAAAGCAGAGTTTCATTAAAGGTTAATGATGGTTTACCAGTACAGAAGTGCGGATGCAGGCGTGCGGCTCCGGCGGGGAGTGAATTTCCGCTCCCTCCCGTAACTGGCGTTCAATGAAGGTCCTGTAGGCCTCCGGATCATTCTGAGACATGTCATCTAACATCGACCAAAACTGATTTACCTGCTGCAGAGCTCCTTTATTATCATAGCCAGGAATTGCCATACTTAAAATGTTTCAAAACTACTGTAACAACTAAAAGAAAAGTTAATACGACTAATAGCCAACGAAAACTGTTTGGAACAAAACGGACGTTTCGCAGATACTATTTTTAGTAACAAATACTTGGAAAAACGATACTATTTTGTAGAAGAGCTAGCAAATGATCAGTCCGGGACAGTTTTTTTTTTTTTCACCTTGTTGAATTCAAAGGTTACCATAGAAACGAATCGAACACATGCACTGTTCTTCCGATAGATGGCGTTGTTTAGTCAAAATAACTGATTCCAGGGCGCAGGGGACACCAGTAGGCCGAATCCCCTACTGAGCCTCAGCTCTCAACTGAGTAACCACAAGAAACTGTGATTGGACGAAGCTTAACAGTTACAGTTGACGTTACCCTCTTCTCTTGATGGAAATCAATATACCTTATACACAGCAGCGCCATCTTTGAACTGGAATGAAAGTGAGGCTGTGAGGATAGACATACATCTC